CTGCCTGTACCTGAAGCCAAGTCTGATAGCACAGGGTTGGTGTCTCTCTTGCATTCTACTGTAGTATCTGCTAAAGAACTGCCAACTTGGATACTTCCAACTGCAGCAGCATCCTTAAACTGTACCTTTTTCCTCTTGGGTGTCTGCAGGTAGCCCAGCCCATGGATAGGAAGGGGGAAAATACTCGTGGTGAGCCATTGGCAAGGTGACTGTTCTTCAAGCTGGAGCTGTGACTTAACCAGCTTTTTCCTTTCAATTGCTAAGACGGAACATGGAGGGATTACCAGCGCTATACATAGATCGCTCCGAGCTGTGTTCTCTTTGCTGGCAATACTTAAGAGCTCTGTCAACCTCAGGGCTGGGGATCCAGCATGCTGCTTGTCTGTTGTTGTTTGCTCTCTGCACTGAGGTTCTCTGCCAGTGCTCAGTGGGACTCTGGCAGGACCAGAGGAGGACAACACCAAAGCTGGCAGTACTCAGAAGTTGGGTTTTCTCTGTGGGAAATCCATCAGGATAAACATAAGGGTTGGCTGCTTCTTCTCAGTTTGGGAGTCAAAATGCATCATGAGTTAATTTGTTGGGGTTTTATCTGAACACAAGATTTTTTGTGGGCTTTTTGTTAAGTGCATATTTAGCTCATCAGGGGGTTGGCACGGTGTTGGCTTGTGTGACCATGTGTGCACATGTTGATAAGAAGCCATGGCGTAATCCATAATTCCTCTGCTCAGTAGCCCCTTATCTCGGAGCATGGGCTGTGTGTGTTTTCTTTCTTGGTGGGTCCCCTCAGAGGTGCTGGCTGTGTAAACACGGGTACTGGGTTGAATGTTGAAGTTCTGGGAGGTTCCTGTTGTGTTGGCTCCCAAAGTAGTGGGGAGGAAGCACCCAAAAGTGACCTCCTGGCCAAGGATGTACCAATAAGCAATGTCTCTCTAGCTTGTCAAGGAAATAGCTGGTACTTCCAACAGGCTATTTTCAGGTTCAGGCTTCAAATAGAAAGTTCTTTAGGATATTGTTGAAATGACAGCCTGCTCCACAGAAGTCATAAGCTTTTTAATATCAGATACTTTGATTTCTAATTGTCAGGTAGCATGTCAGTAAAGGTGTCCATAAGGTAACTTGCAGTGCACATAGAGGCATTGGTATTCAGTTTTAGCGTTTAGTTGCATTTGGCAACAACCATTCTGTGTAAACTACTTAAAATCCTTTGAATTCCAGTGAATCGGGCCAAAAGCAAGAAGTGTTATCCTAAGTGAAGCTGCTTAGCACACGATATGTCACTCAATGGTTTTCTCATCAAAGCTAGCAGCTACTGAAGTGATCTTGTGCAGGCTGTTGTTGAAGCTTGGATTGGCTGTGTGAGAAGAGCACTCAAACTAAAGCAAATATATACAAATTGGTGCAGAATGCTCAAAAAGTGTTAAATTCTGCAGCATGCTCCAAGTACTGCACTATTTAATAAAGAAGTTCTTTCCACTAATGATATTGAGGAATCTAGCAAGTCTGACTGCAGTGAAGGAGCTGCGTTGCTGTAAAACATTGGCTTGAGCATAGAAACTGTTTCAGGTACTCTTAACTGGATTAATGAGACCTCTTTATGTGCACCCTGCTTTAAGATCTGAGGGTGAGTGTCTTGCTCATCTGGGATTCCTCCAAGGTGACAGCTTCGCTTGAGGACTGAAGATATTTACAAGCATAGCTAAAACTGAAGTTTCCTGTTGGCAGAGTGGGGATGAGTCATTGTGGTTTTGAGTGCAGGGGCAGGATCCTCCCTTCACTGCAGCAGGGTTTTACTTACAGATCAGCTCTTGGAGCAGCAGGTTCAGGTGTTTGTCGCTCTTGTGTCTGTTAATGAGAAAAGGAGGTGGTGCTTGGAAGGTGTAATGCTTGGGATGGGGCTCCACCATGGAGGTATTGCATTGCCACTGTTCAAGGCCAGGCTGAACTGGGCTTGGAGCAAGCTGCTCTAGTGGAAGGTGTCCCTGCCCGTGGCAGGGGATTGGAACTGGATGAGGTTTAAGGTCCCTTCCAACACAAACCAGGCTGTGGTTCTATGACACTGCAGAGTTTCCAGTGAGGGTCTGGCCATGGCACTCTCGATCCATCCACTCACAGCAGGATCCTTTCACAGAACTACGTGCTTTCTTTGTACCAGTGCCTATTGTCATTGGCATTAGCTGTGTGTTCCCTTTACTCACCACACACGGCGTCTTTCTGTCTGCATCCAGGGGAGGAGGAAGGCTCTGGATGTTACCAGCTTCGTTCCTGCCAGGAGGTTTGACATTGGCCTCCACATTGCATGGAGGGTGTTTTTATTGCAGGTCAGGTGCCAAAGTAGACTGGAGAACCGTGTGTGTGTGAAAGCATTAAATGTTCTTGTGCAATTCTCATTGAAAAGCAAAAAATAGCAATGATTTTAAAGCTGAAGTGCTGGTGAAGGGCACTGAAGCTGTGCCAGGAATGTTCTTCAGTAGGACCTGAATAGCTGTGCATATGTAGGAGGCAGTCTATAGCAATGCTGAATGTGGTAGCCCTGTGGGAGGATTTACCTCTCCTGTGTTCACAGAAAGGGACACTAGTTTTTCTTAGAACCATTGAATCGTGGAATACTTTAGGTTGGAAGGGACCTTAAAGATCATTTAATTCCAACCTGTTTGTGTTCTCATTTTGTTTTAAGAATAACTGAACAGTGCTGCTGAGAATCTGATACGTGTTTCCTTCTAGGGGCAAAAATACAGGTTTTATATGGGAGTAGAAATCATTATAAATTCACAGAGAAAGGGCAGTAGTTATTTTAATAACACCATAAGCAGACTTTGGGAAGAAGAAAAATGTTCATTAGTTTGGTATTAATTCTCTTCATATACTTGAGAACACAGAGAAAAGGGGGAATTGTTCCTCAGGAAGTTGCAGTGGGGAATGAGGAGCTAACCTGGTTTCAGGAATGCTCAGATGGAAGTGTTTCTTTGCAGAACCTTCAGATAATCCGGATGATCAAGGGACTGGAGCACCTCCCTTATGAAGACAGGCTGAGAAAGTTGGGGCTGTTCAGCCTGGAGAAGAGAAGGCTGCGTGGAGACCTCATAGCAGCCTTCCAGTATCTGAAGGGGGGTTACCAGGGATGCTGGGGAGGGACTCTTCATTAGGGACTGTAGTGACAGGACAAGGGGTAATGAGTTAAAACTTAAACAGGGGAAGTTTAGGTTGGATATAAGGAGGAAATTCTTTCCTGTAAGGGTGGTGAGGCACTGGAATGGGTTGCCCAAGGAAGTTGTGAATGCTCCATCCCTGGCAGTGTTCCAAGGCCAAGTTGGACAGAGCCTTGAGTGACATGGTCTAGTGTGACGTGTCCCTTCCCATGGCAGGGGCTTTGGAACTGGATGATCTTGAGGTCCTTTCCAACCCGAACTATTCTATGATTCTATCACTGGTATGTACAACCACAGGAGTAACTTCTTGCCTGCAGACAAGCAGTTTTAAGTAATGTTTATGTCAATGTATAAGGAAGAACACCACAACACCATCTCTTCTGAAGTGCTGGATTTCTGGCCACCATGCTCAAGAAAAAGCAGATGGATTTTGTTCATGTCCAGAACTCTGGTTTATCTCTTCTGTAGCAACAAACCAGTGTGGTTTGGTTTCTTACCCAGCTCAGGCTGGAGAGGCGGAGTCACCCGGAATAGCACATTGTCCGGCTGCTTAAAATGAAGCGCTGGGCTTCAAGACCAGACTTAATCCCAAGTAGGTTTCTTTGATCTTCAGCTTGAATTGACTGAAGCTACAAATGGCTTTGCTGTGTAAAAACCCTCCCATAGCTGCTCACAATTCATAAATCCCATTTTTCTTGACCTTCTTCCCCCTGCTCCTTGCTCCCATCCAAAGTACCATGCTTTTGCTTTGGTCCTGGATGTTAACTTCCAGGCATGAGAGCCTGGTTTTGGTCTGTCTGGGTGGTGCCAGAGTTCTGATACAGTTTAAAGTTGGATTTTTTAATTCCAAAAGTAGGTCTTGTCAAGCCAGATTCATACAGTTTTTGTCTTATATGCTGCTTCTGCATTGACTTCCATGGCAGTAGCGTCTATTAGCTGAGTTGTTATGTCTCTTTGGACGAAAACCTTGAACTTGAATGCACGTGGCTTGTGCTAAAGCTGTAGCACAGTATGCTCGAACGAAAGCAGAAAATATGGAATCTGATAGCTGTAGTGTCAGTGTTTTGCTGGGGGTAGATGAATGTGAGTGCATTGTTCCTCTGGAAATTGCAGTTGTAGTTTCACAATTCGTTTGTAAATCTCTCTCCCAACAAAGAATGACTTTGACAATAGTCGTGTATCTTACTTTGGCAAAGTCTATTTTTTTTTTTTGCTTAACTGTAATATCTTATTACTGTCACACTAACTCCCATGATTCCTACTATTATTCTCCTCCTGTCTTCCATTCTGGGATTTCAGATGAGTACTGAATACTCTTTGCTTCCCCTAATAACCCTCTCTATTGTTTTCTGGAGAGATCTGTCAATTTTATTGAGCTACAGCTGTAGACTCTGTCTGCTGACTCCTGCAGCTGGAGAGAGCTGTGTTCTGAACAGAGAGTACACACGGATTCAGTCGTCTTACAGATAGACCTGCATCTGCCTGTAGATTGATATAAAATTACTCCTTTGCATTGATGGGAAGGAGCTTTTTGTGGTATATTTTGTAAGATTATTTAAATGAGGATTTGGAAGCGTTTCAGGTGTTTGATTTCTAGGTAGGTGGTGTTATGTGTGGAAGGTAGTGCTCTCCATAATGAAGCTGGTATGAATGTACTTCCAGGGCCCTGGAGGGGTAGACAAGTTCTTGGCCTTTTTAGGAGCTTCAAACTCGTAGTTAAGCCCTCTTCCAACAACAAAAAGAACCCAAAGAACCTGCCATGCGTCCTAAGAGCTCATAGATCTGTTGCAGTTCATAAACTCCGAGGCCATGAACTAATACTGTTCACTCTTCGTGGTGTTGTACATTTTACAGAAGGCGTTTTATCTCCCAGCGCTGCTCTCTAGACTTTTTAGAAGACATAGTGGAATATGCCAGTGTACGAAGGTACTTGTTTCAAAAGCAGCATTAATCTCAACTCGTTGCATGCAGTCCTCTCCTCCCTCCACCCTCTTCCACGCCAATATCTGAGGTCCTGCATGCACGTGCTGCCATCTGATCATACAACCGGCATGACTTCTTCGTCAGAGCCCTGACCAGGTCTTGGGTTTTTGTTTGTAATTGCAGGAACAAGCCTATTTCTGGGTCTCCAAGACACAAAAGTTTGAAGAAGATGCACTTCATCAAGAACATGAGGCAGTATGACACCAAGAACAGCAGGTAACTTCTGAAGGGCAAGGTGCCTCCTGTTCTTGGGTGAAATAGGATGTGCTCAGTGGACCCTAGTTCAGTGCAGTTAGCCGTTTAATATCAGTGGCAATAAGGTGATGTCCTGGTTAGTTTTATATCTCCTGTTGAAGGCAGTAGGTGCTCATATCTACCCACCTCTGCAGCAATATTATAATGGTTCTGCCATCCTACTTTGAGCAGGTTAAATCATTCTCTTGTAACACCCTCCTTATCTCTAGCACACAAAGGTGAATGCTAAGGAGGATTCAAGGAGAATGGCTTGGTTTAGCCAAATTCTTGGCTCAGTTGCTGGGCAGAAGAGAAAGGTTGAGGCTGAATTTGCATTTATTAATAGAGGTGTGAGGCTTCATCTAAATGTAAAATATTATCTACATCTTTTCATAAGGCTCATAAAAAATTACATAAATATAGATATGTATATTTAAAGACAAGGATCTCCTGTGAGGAGCTCCAAGGTGATGACAGTTACTGAACACTGGATTCTCATGTAGAGCTTGGTTCTAAGCACTTACAGGCATTAATTGCTTGCATCTAAGCACTCTCAGAATGAAACCTCTGCTCTTGTGCTGCTTTCTGAATGCATCAAATCCATAGCAGTGTCTGTAACTTGCAGAGTGATACCAGAAGAGTCTTCTACTCATGTTCCATAAAAAGCTGCTTTTCATGCATCTTAATTCATATCCTGATTATTTTTTCCCCATCTGCTTACAGGATAGTGTTAATCTGTGCTAAACGAACACTGTGTGTGGCTTTTTCTATCCTACCTTACGGGGAGAGTTTACGGATCAGGTGAGTTGTCTTTAACTGCTGGGTGAAATGGCTGGTTTGTGGGTTGCAAAAGATCTTTATATGAGTATGGTTGGTGTAGGGCTCCTGTTTTGAAGCAGGTGAACTTATTTATCCTACTATTTATGTATAAGGACAAAAGCTTGCTATCAGAGCAGTAAAATCAGACATTGTCACAGCATCAAAGAGTTCATTCAAACTCCAAGAGGAAAATAGTGGGAAAGGGAGACTTGCCTTCAGGTGTCCATTCACGATTTCAAGCACTCCAGTACTATGAAATCCCTGAAAGCCGCTTTGAACAGATGATGTGATTTGTTGCTGGACATCTAAAGGGGTCAGAAATCAACTGCCTTTAGTGCAATCAACTAAAAAACATATGGAGCATCAGGGAAGGATGCTGCTGCCTTTACTGGAAACTTCCATGGTTTTGTACTGGAGTTACATCTAAATAAGTTAGGGATGCTCTTCCATTCTTCAGCTCTAAGCCATGAATGTCACTACTTGCAGTCTAAGAAAACCAGAAACAGTTTAAACTGAAACTGCTTTTGGTGTTTGTACTACATAGAGCTGTCAATATGATCACTTATGAGAAACCAAAGCTGGTAACTGGACTTTCCTGCAACCTTGCTCAGTCCCTTGTGCAGTCTGAATTGATTCTGTGAAGGTCTATGGTCCACAAATACACCATAGAAAATACTCATTTTATTCAAAGCTGCTTCTGGCAGAACAATTGTATTGTCACTCCTGTCCTGTGCATAACTTACACACGAAGGAAACAGATGTTTAGTGGTGGGAATTGCATTGTATGCAAATGCTCTTGCCACAAAAATAGTTGATGGGAAAATATTTTCTCACTTAATAGGAAAGCAGGGAGGTCACTGGAGCTGGTTTAGAGCAGTTCTGAGCACTGTGTCATTCTGCTTGTAAGCTGGCAATGCAGTTCTTCAACTGAAAGCTGCTTTTTGGCATTGGAATATAGGTGACAAAACTGCATGGTGCCATCGCTGAAGCAGAGTTCTGCTTCATTCTTAGTTTGAGCTTCTGTGCACAGTGGCTGGAAAATTGCCTTTCTGAAAGCTGGAAATCTAGTAGTATAAATCATGCTTGCTGTTAAGTGAGAATTTGGGTGTTGGGAATGGCATGGTCTTATGCAGAAATGTAATATTGGGGAAAAAAGTTTACTTTTGATAGGTGTATTGGTATGATTTGAGTTAAAATGAGATGAAATTTGGTTTTTGAACCTGAATGCCTTCATGTTTTGAAGAGAGTCATTAAAAATGACTGTTTTCTTGGAGGTGGTGGGATTGAGGGATTGCTCTGTTCCCACATAGAGAACTGAGTGTTGGATTTGGCTGTAGGTAGTGAACAGACCTGGTGTTTACCAGACAGGAATGTGGACTTGTGCATGTTGTAATGGCACATGTTCTTATCTGCATTTAGTGATCTAAGAATGGAAGGACAGAAGCAGCGACATCCTTCTGGGGGAGTTTCAGTCTCCACGGAGATGGTGCTTGGACTGGAAGGAGTAGAGCTGGGTGCTGATGGCAAGGTAAGGAAAGACGTTCTTATCTTCTTGACTCTTGATTTGTAATGCCAGTGCCCAAACCATTGACCAGGGCAGAGCACAGTGGGTGGGTGAACTGGCTGCTGTCACCCTGGTGTCGTTTCATGCAGGGGCAAGTCGCTCAGTCTATGTAGTGCTTTGCCATCCCTAAAGTGAGAGCTGTGACTTCAGAGCAGCAGAAGTTTGCTTAGATCCTCAGTTTGAAATATTTGGCTTGTGATAATGCTGCTTCTGAAGAGGCTGTTGAAGCCTGTGATCACTTCTGCCTCTGCTTCTGGAGAATTGATTGGATTCTGGTATTTTGGGCAACATGAGTGATGTTTTGATAGAAATATGGGCAAAATAAAAACCCTTTAGTTTATATACTGCCAGAATTGTACTGATACGATCCTCCCTTTTTGCTTCCTAGCCCACCAGATTTCCTACAACACTTCCATACTGGCAGTGTGGAAGCAAGATGTTCCTCATCCAACCTTTCCCTTTCTTCCAGTCCCACAATTTCAAGGTCTCCACTCCCAAATACTATGTTCTAGTAGCATACGTTCTAATCCCCAAATTCTCTATTCTATGAAATTCCAACTCAGAGTTCCTGGAGTCTGTAAATCCTAGATCTCTGGAAATAAGCTTTGCAGTAAGCTTCCCCCTCTTAACTACCACAACTCTCCTCTTTAAGGTTGTGTCCTATGCAAAATTCCTGTATCCAACCAATGCCCTCGTGGTTCGCAAAGCCGATGGCCACGGTGCTGTTCCCTCGTGTCGAGCTGGTGCTTCTCGGAGTCTTCCTGGATCAAGATACAAACCTGCGACAGCAAAAGCAATACCAGCAGGAACAGACCTTGGTAAGGACCAGTCACCAGCTTTGTCATCACTCTGCACATGGCAGAAAAGCTGAAAAGGAATGTATTTGTCTGAAACAATTGCAAGGAGTAAAGTGCATTATGGGGAAGGATGTGCTGGTGCTGGATGAAGACTCGTTTAGCACAGCCTAGTAAAGAAGGCATGTTAATGAAGTATAAATGCTGAGCCTTAGGACTGAGACCTGCACACATTCCTCTGCCCATCTGGCCAAGTTCTGTTTATGCAGTTCAAGGCGCACAAAGCTTTTCCTTGGAAGTGTGAACTTCTACATTACTCAGCAAGAAACATCTGGTGTAGAGGTGGTCCTCCTTGCCTTCTAGCACAGCCAAACAGTTTGTGACCAGAATCTCTTCTCTCATGTAAAAAAGCAAACCTGACAGCTCCTCTGTCTGTTAGATCAGCGTATAGGCAAAGCAATTCAGTCTTGAGCAGTTGTTTTCTGTGCGTATTTGTAGATGACAAGCTTAGTTTCCACTAAGTCAAAAATTATGCATCAGGCACATGCAGGAGAAAGAGCTTTGTGGGTTTTAGTCATTCCACTACCCAACTGGTGTATTTCTGAAATGCAAGCATGCAGAGTGCCTGTACTGTACCTTGGTAAGGGACAGGGACCTGCCAACACTCAAGTTTGCTGTTTGAAAACTTTTTAAAGAGGAAAGAGGGAATTTAAAGCTCTGTACCTTGTGCTTTCCTCATTCTCTCAGGAAGTGAAGCTGGGGAAGCTGCAGAGTATGATCCAAATATTCTGGATGATCCTCAATGGCCCTGTGGAAAACACAAACGTGTTCTCATCTTTGCCTCTTACATGGTGAGTGACTGGCATACCTGAACAGAGGAGTGAGTGCCTGGAAGATCCTCCTGTAAAGAAATTCCCTGAGGAAGGAAACTTCCTCTGGGAAGAAAAAGTCCTGACTTTTTGAGAATTGATTGGGAAAAATACATATATTTGGGTCTGTACACTCAGTTTATTGAGGACCAACCTGACATGAATCTCCATGGTGTTATTTGCTTCCTGTAACCATTTGCTTGCTAGTTCTTTGTAAGACTTTATAGCTGAGATTCAACATTACAGAGATGTTAAACTGTGAATAACAAAACTCAGGCTTGCCTTTGTGTTAGCATCTTTGGAAGACTTGTTTGGCTGTGAGTACTGCTCACAAGAGAAATGGTAAATTTTGCCTCGTGTGTTTCAGACTACAGTCATTGAATATGTGAAACCCTCTGACCTTAAAAAGGATATGAATGAAACCTTCAGAGAGAAGTTTCCTCATATCAAGCTGACACTGAGCAAAATTAGGAGGTAAGAAATGAGCACTGAATAATGAGAACGTCTACACTGTGCAAGGATGCTTTATCTTCCCCTTGCATGGAGCAAATACTAGATCTATTAATAGTATATATGATTAAACACTAATCTCTTGTTGATAGTTGAGCTGACTGTAGGATGACAGCTCCTTACAGGAATGTTAAGGATGCTGTGAAAGGGTAACAGTTGGTTTTCATAGTTCCACCTAAAAGGGTTTTATTCCACCAACTGTGGTGTGACAACACTAATAGCCAATTAACAGTGAAGTGTTAGCCTTGAAACAAATCCTTGTAACCTGATTGTGTGGCTGTAGTGCAGCCCCACTCTAACTGGATTATCTTTCTGGACCCTCCAGCTATTTTCACCTTTCAATTACCAGTTGGCTGATGATGGACTCTAACAAGATTCTAGGATGAAGAGTGTTAGGTTTGGGAGTCTTGGTAAAGAAAAGCGTTTTGTGAAGGCAGGATTATGCCACTCAATTCCTCATCTTCCAGGAAATGCATCTGGCCACTCATCAATGAGATGCAGTATTGTGCCTTTAGAGAGAAGTAATCTTGCTGGTATTACACATCACTTAATGCAGCCAGGGCCTCTGAAATAGCCAGCTTAAACACAGCTCTGCTGAATCACCAGGGCTACGTGTAACTCTGCTCCAAGGCTTGCTCAGGCAGATTCTGTGTTCTGCTAGTGTTCTGCATGCTCCTCTTTGTAGCTGAGTAGTGTGTCTGCACAGAGATATTCTTGCAGGAGTAACATGAATGGCAGCCAGGAGAGGTAGCATCCACCATGAAGTCAGCCTTAATGCTGAAGCACAGGGCTAGCTGTTGTGGAAAGTGTGTAAACCAGTCTGCCTTCCCCCTCAGACCTGATTCTTCCACAAGGTGTGTAGTAGACAGGTCTCTCTGCAGCAGCTGCTGTGATCTGCACGACTTTGATGTGGTATTTTGTAAGTGAGGGTTTTTCAGGCGTATGATATGAATCACAAACCAGTTTGGGAGCCCAGAGGGAATCGTGCAGCAATAGCCTGCGTGTCGGTGAAGCAGCTAAGTCCCCAGTGTTTGCGAGCATATGAGGAACTGTTCTTCCACAGTCAGCTATGTTAAATGTTTGTGCATCAACTCCAGCTTTCTGCCAGCTGGACTTCTCCAGTCTAAGATTATCCTCATCGTGGTTATACAAACAGGAGATTTGCCCATGTGCTCTTCTGTTCCCCAGCTGCAGTGTTTCCAGAGCATTTCATATAAGCTGCCGTGTTTGAGAGGGTGTTTCTTTTCCTATTCCCAGTTTAAAGAGGGAGATGCGGAACCTGAGTGAAGACTGCAATCTGGAGCCAGTTACTGTCTCCATGGCTTATGTTTACTTTGAGAAGCTCGTCCTCCAAGGCAAACTCAACAAACAGAACCGCAAACTGTGTGCTGGTGCTTGCGTTCTGCTTGCAGCCAAGATCAGCAGCGATCTCAGGAAACATGAAGTTAAACACCTTATAGATGTAAGTACTTCGGGGCTTGCTTCAGGTGTTGTCAGAACCTCCTCTCTAGTTCATAGAACAAGACAAAGATCAAAGCCAAGATTTCCAGCAGTGCATGCTTGCTTTTAATTTAAGACCAGCTCTTTCAGTCAGTTTTATGTCTCATTAGGGTTCTTCCTTGATGAATTTCTGTGATTCGTTAAAATTACCTAACTGGTGCAGTCTAAGGTCCTGGTGATCCTACAGTGAGGTTATTTTTGCACTTACTCAAGCAATTGTGACTGTTGTGTGGGTGTCACAGCTGAGCTGATAAGCTGGTTTACTTGTCTGATCCCTGGCAACACTTTCTGGTCCTGTAGGTACAGATGAGGCCAGGCATTTCTGACTCCTGTTTCATGCTAATAATTAAACAGTACGTTGGTGTCTTGTGGATTAACTGATTCTTTCTCCCCCTCCTCTTCTTTTTTTATTCCTGTCATAGAAACTAGAAGAGAGATTCAGATTCAACAGAAGAGATCTCATTGGTTTTGAATTCACTGTCCTCGTAGCTTTGGAACTGGCGCTCTATCTTCCTGAAAACCAAGTTTTACCTCATTACAGACGGCTCACACAACAGTCTTAACCAAAGCTACTTTCAGCTGACAGCCAGTGGCGCTGGGGATGGCATCACTGAACACTGCTGGTGGAGTTGCCACCAGCCCTTCCACACGCCTGCGTGCATCCTGCCCTGGCTACAGCCACTTTTGGAGCTTGCAGTGTGTCACTGAACTGTTGAGGTGTGCATTGTGGCCACGTATGGCAGGTCTGGGGGATGGTACGAGAAGAGTTAATGAACTTTAATTTTCTTTTGGACATTTAAAGCACAGATATTCACCAGTCAGCTGTCATGGCTGCTTATTATTCCTTATTTATCCTTTTGGTTTTACTAAAACTGTTCTTCCCTATGAAGAATACTATGGTATTGTTTCTTTTTGTTTATTTTTAAAGCCTTTATTATATTCCTTGAAACTAAAGGAATCATCACTTCCATTCCAGTGCACCATAAAATTCAGAGGTTTCTAAGAATCTTCTTGCATTTTTATGTTAATGAAATGCATACTTTATTTTTTTAATGATGTGCCTAAAACTGGCTGGTCTGGTACCAGTGCTTTTTAAGTTGGTTATTTTATTTAGTGGGGAATCCTGAATTCGTGTAGCCATTTATTCTTTACCTGCATTGGCCTTGCATAGAAGGAAGACAATTCCAGTATATCTGCACTAATGATACACAGGGCATCTATTCTCTACTATACTACAGATCTCTAGTAGTAAGACTGAAATTACTTTGTTCCAATTTAGTTGTATATTCTTAAGGTATTAATAATCATTTGATTTAAAAGGTTGAAAATCTCTAATGAAGTACCTACCACATGTTGAACAAGGTTGCTGCAGCAAAGCCATTGCCATCCAAATTCACCCTTTAGTGCAAGATGAGTGCTTGACTAAGAGCAGTTTTGCTGTCAAATGTTTCATTTCCAGTTTTTGTTTCAGCGTTCCATGGTCTGAAATAAGCACCTTTTTAGTATGACTGTATTATATATGGTCTTACGTGTTCTGAATACATGAGTCAGTAGAGCTACTGCTGCCAAATGAAGCCAATGAAACAAAGCATGCTCAATATTTAAATGCTACCTTTTTACTCCGTTCTTCCAGCATTGGTCACTGTGATGGTCCTCATAGAACTGGCATTTATTGCACATCTGAACAGCCCAGCAGTGCTCTAATGCTTACTCAGAGGTTAAGTAACTTCTCTGACCATTGCCTATTCCTTCATTTACTTTAAATATCCAGGTTGGGAATGAATTGTTGTTTGGAACATTCTGTGATACTGGCTCTTGGGTTGATTTTCTAAAGCAATATTATTATACAAACAACTGCGGCCGTTTGCAAGGAACAAAACTGATGCTTGGCTATTACAACTGAGAAACGTGTCATTTATGTTGGACTCCTAAATGAAATACTAGACCTCGTACTGAGGCAAGGGACTTGCTCTCTAATATGTACAGTAATGTAAATTCCTGTTCCTTGTATTAAATGTTGGTTGTAGCCAAAACCAAAGCTGAATCTTTCCTTTTCAGCTGTGTTTTGTCTGAAGCTAATTTGGATTCATTGGAATTGCATCAAACTTTACTGGAGCCCCTTCCTCTTTAAGAAGGGCTCGAAGTGTATTTTTCATATATAGTGACTATCAGATCTTTTGTAACTGTGTTCAGCTGTGAGTAGCTTCAAGTTATTGTGTACTATTTAAAATGCTTGTGACTTCTAACCCAGAAGGACTTTCTAGTCTCAGTAAGCAAAATGGTAACAGAATTAGACAATAAGCTTGCCAGTTATCTTCCAAAAGGTTTAAAAACTTGCCTACTAGTTAAACTTTCTACTGAATATAACTGTCCTTGCATGCAAGTAGTGATGTACTGAACATCTAGCATATACTTAGCCTTCAAATCAGCTAACAGTGAAGGCAACAATGTGGTCCACCACTCCTTTAAGTTATTAGGGGAGGGGACAGAGGTAGAACTGAGCATAGGAACTTCTGGCACAGTTATGCCCAGTGCTAGCAAACCATTTTGGTATAAATGAAATCAGAAAATGCCTTTCTCTGGGAACTTTACCGTATAAAGAGTTTTCTGTAACAAAATTAACTTTCCTTTCTTGCCATGTAAGGAAAACAACGCACTTTGGTTGCCACCCACTCTGCTCAGTGGAATTTTGTCTAGATGCAGTGGGCATTTGGGCTGCAGGGACACACACAGAACCTACAGTTTCACATCCTAACCTGGCAAGCTTTTGTTTTCCCTTTCAGAAGAACACATTAGGTTAAGGAGCATTAAGTTCAGAATGGTTCGTTTTGTCTAAAGGTTACCGAAACGTCGGTGTGGGCACATGGGGGTATTGGTGAGCTCAGAAGCTGGAGTAGAGGCCAGAAACCCTGCAGTGGAGCTGCACTGGTGTCTGTGGTAGAGCATGGTTTGGGGATGATGCCGTCCAGGGGTGACGCTCATGCATCAGTGCCTCCGTTGTGGCATCTGTGCAGAACCAACCCGGCTGCACAGATACGGTACCTACCGTGTGCGTGTCTGTGTTGGGTTTTGTTCCTAGAGCGTAGCTTGCAGTCTGCGGGAATGCTTTCCACCTAAAAGCTGCCACCATGTGGCAAAGGACTATTATTGCGTTTATCCATTAATAAAGCGGGACCCGAACTCACCCGTGGAATTGCCGCCTTGGCATTTCCACAGCCCAGCTCCTCTTGCTGTGAAGGGAAGCGTTGGTTTACACCGAGGCGAGGGGGGGGTTCTTGTGCTGTGGAGCGTGTAAAGATGCTGCTGGCTTGGCTCAGCGTGAACTCTCTTGATGAGAACTTGTACATTTTTTTATGTGTTATGGTTTTGTCTTGTCCATGTTTTATTTTTTGTGAGATGAAGATGCTGTGAAATAAACACTGTTTTGGTACGTGGTTTGTAATTAAACGCCTTATTTCGAAGCACGGCTTGGCTCCAGCCCGCTCTGAGGGCGGTCGCTTCCCCTCGGGTTCCTGGCGCCATGAGGAAGGGCGGCCCTCGACGGGGGTGTGGGGAGGGACGCGACCCCTCGGGGCTGACACCCGCATCCCCTCAAAGGCCTAGGGCGGCAGCGCTCCGCTTCCTCTATGGTCCCCTCAGCGGGCGCTACCTCACTGAGGCCATTTAACAGCCCGATGACGCCACTCCGGCGCGCCGGAAGCGCGCTACTCCCCTTCGGTTATTTCCGCTTCCGCCGCCCGCCCTCCTTCCCTTTCCGCCGCGGCACACGCGAGGTAGGAGCGCGATGGCGGCGCTGCTCCGCGGGGAGCGGCCGGGCCGGGGCTCCGGGGGAGGGCTGGGATCGGCGCGGGGTGCGCGACCCGCGGTGTCCGCGCTGCTGTGAGGCCGCGGGAGGGGCAGCTCCGTGGTGGAGCCCGTGTAGGGAGCGCGGTGCGCAGACCAGGCCTTGTTCCTTGTAGGTGTTACCGCTTGGTGCCTGGGCCGCCGCCGCCACCGCAGCGAGATGCAGAACGACGCCGGGGAGTTTGTGGACCTCTACGTCCCTCGGAAGTGGTGAGCAGTTCCCCTCGGCGTGTGGCCTGAGGAAATGGGCCCTTGGCGAGAACCGGAACAGAGGCCGAAAGCAGGGGCTTTGGGAATATCTCTGAAACAAATATATATGTGTTTTTGTTTATTTCCGTATTTTTAAATGCTTTATGTAAAATATACGAGGCAAAGACTAAATGTAAAGCGATCACTGTGCATCTTCTGTTTGTAACTGCCAGCTTTACAGCGGCAGTGTGTACAGTGGCAGTACAGCTCTTGTATGGCTCATGCCAGGAGGAAATATGCAGGTTTGTAGCTACAGGCACAGTGAACCTGTGAAGTGAACCCTTGTTGCCTTTATAGCACACCTTAAGTACAGTTTTGAGATTATAGTTGGTGGAACAGTGGGAAAATTTTTACATGGGTGCTAAACAGCAGCAGCAGGCTAAAAATAAACCATTTGTGTGCATTTTAGTAGGTTAAAGTCAGATGGCTTTTACAGCCTGTTGTTTCTGGGGGTTTGCAGGCTGAGTGCCTTTTGGCAGCTGTCATGGCTCCCCATGAAGAAGGCATAGAAACTGCTTTCTCATTAGTTACCTTGATTGCTGTTATTTCATGTACTTTAGAAAAGAAAAGCTTGATATTCTGTGTGATTTGAAGGCCTGTGCTGATGTGTGTCCACTATAGGGGTGAAATGGGTATATAGAAACCAAAATGAAGGCATAGCTGACAACTTAGCATGCCCCTGCCAAGTGAAATTCTCCATTAAATGTACTTAAAAGTGCATTTTAATTTTCTGAGCCCCGAAAGCTTAAACTTTATTGCCTGAATTCCCTGTGAAGCTTTAATTTGCGTGTAGATTTGGTGTTGTTAATAGTGGCTTTTTTATTGTTACTGTCCATTTCCTTTTGTTTAAATGCATCTTGTTTTATTCCTTAGCTCTGCTAGCAACCGAATAATCGGCGCTAAGGATCATGCTTCTATTCAGATAAATATTTCAGAGGTAAGTTTTATACCAAATATGTGGGGAGAGCTGCACCTTTAAACTTTGAATACAAGTTAAGAGATAGAACAGTTTGTGATGCATCTCCAAATAAACTAGAGACCGTGTAAGTATAGAGCTTGAGTTCTTACACACAGATGGGTATATTACTGTGTCACCACTGGTTATTTTTCAGCCTACTGGAAGATACTCATTGGAGGAAAAGCTCTGTACAGTCTGTTCCAGGGCTTAACAGTTTGAGTACAGCTTCCTAACTGTAGATATTTAGTGTTACTAGGGAATTCCTTGCCCTGAAGGAAGGGAGAAGAAATGCTTGCTCAGGGGGATTCTTACCCCTTTTACCTTTTTTATTCTTGTTGATCTTCTCTGTGTTTTTTGTAGTATGCCCAAACTCAGAGATAGAGTTTCCAGAGCAGAACTTCCATGTTTTGCTTGAATCATTTGCATTAATTCTTGTCACTGCTGCTCCTGATAGATAGCAAATGAGTCTGTGTGCTTTGTGCATTATCATTTCACTAACTCGGTGCTTGGGGTATTGATGCTTAGAATTCTTCCTGAGACATGCTGGTTATATGTGTTGACCTGGTGTTGTCCGTTTAGTTTTCTTACTGTAACAAGGAATTTGTTCCTGTCTTAAGTTTAATTTAATCTTCAGTGTTATTGCAGAGCCCTCCAAGCTTAAGATATATGCTGAGAAAACCACAGTAGACCTTGACTCTGGCGGGATCCCAGTTAATGCGCATGGGCTCCAGTTAATTTGAACTCTTTTTTAGCATGCTTTGTTTTTCTCATTTATTGGTACTCACCTTGCAGGAATTCTGGGGACACAATCTTCCTGTAGTTCCTTGTGAGCTCTATAGCTTGATTGATTTCTTCTTCAGTGGGAGACCACAAGACTTTTCATAGAATCATAGAATAGTTAGGGTTGGAAAGGACCTTAAGATTATGTAGTTCCAATCCCTGTACCGTGAGCAGGGGCACCTCCCACTAAACCATGCCACCCAAGGCGCAGTCCAGCCTGGCCTCAAACACGGCCAGGGATGGAGCATTCACAACCTCCCTGGACAACCCATTCCAGTGCCTCAGCACCCTCACAGTATCCAATCTAAACTTCCCCTGTTTAAGTTTTAACCCATTACCCCTTGTCCTATCACTACAGTCCTTAATGAATATTCCATCCCCAGCATCCCTATAGCCCCGCTTCAGACACTGGAAGGCTGCTATAAGGTCCCATACTTTTAAACAGCTGAACCTCTTGTATTATGTCTGACTAAAGAATTAACTTTTTGAGAGGCTCTGCTTCTGGTTTCCTGTAAATACTTTCTTCACCATGTTTCATTCCTTCAGTGATCCTTATTTCTTGTTTGCAAAGACTCTGCTAGTCAGTAGAACTCAAAAACAAACCCTCGTGGTATTACAGGTTTCACTGCACTGTTTAATTTCACAGTTTATATTGTTTAGTCTTTTCTTCCTGTTTTTCAGCAACTGCAGGAAATGAGACAATTTTGTGTCTCTCAACTTGGACGCTTTTCTACCTGTGTAACAAAACTGTCCCCTTCCCCCTTAAGATTTCTGTAATACTGACCTTAATTAAAAGAAACATGAAAGAATAGCAAAGGCAATAAAACCCACAAGTGAACTTCACACTGAACTTTCCATTTTTTTCAGAACTCGAGTATTTTCTTCTTTCAGCTCCATTTTGTATTGTGTTCTTGTTACGGTGTGTGGTCCATTTTATAGCTGCACCATATCATTAACTATCAATTCACTGTGAGAAGATACTCTGTAGGTGTCTTTCAAACTTCAGTATTTGCCTTATTGTTTTGTAATTTACAGAAAAAGATTTGCAGTGTAAGAATCTGCATGGAGTAACTTGCTTGTTAATTCTAGGTTGACAAGGTAACGGGCAGAGTAAACGGCCAGTTCAAAACATACGCCATCTGTGGACCCATTCGTCGAATGGTGAGTACTTTCCTGACCTCCAGGATGCTTGTGCTTCCCTTTATATTGATGAG